CACACACATACCCACACATACACACACCGACACACACATACACACACATACACACACATACCCACACATACACACACCGACACACACATACACACACATACCCACACCGACACACACCGACACATACCCACACACACATACCCCCACACACACATACCCACACCGACACACACACACATACCCACATCGACACACACCCACACACATACCCACACACACATACCCACACATACCCACACACACATACCCACACACACATACCCACACACACATACCCACACCGACGTAGATACGCACGCGAACGCCACACGTGCGCACAGAAAACCCTGCACACACACATCGCATCACATCGGCGAAGAGACAAAAAGATGCCCCCGTAGAGGCTTTGACAACAGATCGTTGGGGTAAATATTGTTCGCGGCCAACACCACGGCCCGGCCGCCTTTATCTCCCCAGTGCTGATATTGTTGGGCTTGGGCGGGCATCGAACTCGGGTCGCCGGGGATCGTAGCACAATGCGCTAACCACTCAACTGTTGCTCCCCGCATATACAACACACACACACATAGATGTATATGTAAAGACAAAGATCTCCCAGGATAGCCACTCGCCCCAAGATTGCTGGGGCAAGTGCTGTTAGTGAGCACCTATGATAGGCCGGCACGGCACACGAGGGGATGTGTGGCCAACACCACGCCCGGCCGCCTTTGTCTCCCCAGTGGCGATGTTTATTACGCACCGCACTGGGTACTCATTAGGCTGAGCCGACCTAGGGGAGGCCCAGGACCGGTTCTGATAATCGCCGTGAGCGGGAATCGTTACTCGGGTCGCCGGGTTCGTAGCGCTGACCGCGACACGAGCCACATCAGCACGCACGGTGATAAATCCATACACAAAAAACACACGCGCAAGCAATTATAAACATGAACATACACGTACATAATTACGAATGTACACATAAACGCGCGCACACACGCACACACACACACGTGAACATCATATATGCAGCCACGAGTATGCGCACATACGTAAACACGCACACACGCGCGTATACACACACGTAGTAAATATGTAATGTAGCTCTCAGAGACAGCGTCTTGTTCAGCTATACGTATATATTTATTATGAATGAAGTCCGCCGACGCACCGATAACTTAACGAGTAACCGCGAGTGACTGTACGCTATACATATATACACACACACACACACACTTGGGTAACTTTGAGATAAGCTCTATTCTCGAGACAACATCACTTCTTAAGCCTTCCAAGACGACACAAGTTGGCCACTCCAGCGATGATGAAGGCGCTTCGAGCTGCTATAACCCAGCGACCCCTCTATTCACGAAGCCCTCTCTCACCTCACCTCTGGCCATGCCTGCCTCGCTTGCAGACCTTGTTACAATTTACCGAACGTTAGGGGGTTCCCGTGCTTTGTGACGTCACGCACCTGGTGGAGGGGAGGGGGGGTCAGACATTTGTGACGATGTGTGACTAGGGGGGGGGGGGGAGTTTGAGAAATGTGACGTCACATCGAAATGCGTAACTTTTAATTAATATAGACAACACGTTCTACTTAATTAAATTGACTTTTTGATAAATGTTTTCTCCTACAACGTCAGAGTGCAGCGCCACATTAAATACGCAACTACAATGACAATAGTTTAAAGCGGTTTGAAGCATGCTTTCTATTTTTTTTGGGGGGGGGGGCAGAGCTTTGTGACGTCATATTGGAGGGAGGGGGGGTCTGACGTTTTGTGACGTCGTGTGACGAGGGGGGGTGGGGGGTCAAAAATGGTCCCAAATCGCGTGACGTAATTTATGGACGGCGCCTTTCCCCTCGCGCGAACCTGTCAACGCTTGTCGCATCAATCATTGTTAGGGACCACTTGGGGTCCCACCTGACCCCAACGTGACCCCTGTGTGTCCCCGGTACCCTTAATTAGTAACCATGGCACACGGGGGAGACGTACTGTCCCTACATCACCCCGTACTGTCCCAACAAATACACAAACACACTCGTGCATACACCCGTGAACACGACAGAAACACACGGACTCAGACACAATCGCACATTAACACGAGTGCATAACATACAAAAGACACACACACACGCGCAGGGATACATACACAGCAAAGACAAATACGCACTTAAATACACCCACAAACACATGCACACAAAGTTAACAGAAACATAAAAAAACGCAAACGTGTGCACAGACAAAGATCCCCCGTGTAGCCTTAACAGACTGTTGGGGCAATTGCTGTTAGCGAGTAGCACCTGTGAAGGCCGGCACGCCACACTGGGGGAGGGGGGGCAGTAGGGGGGTGGTGTAATCTACCTTGCAGTGTCCGTGCAACTTCTGCACTCGTACTGATGACCAAGATGCACGGACTCGATCTCGAGTTCGTTCCTTTTTCTTCCTCAGCTCCGGTGGCTAGGAGATGTTAACTACCTCGCCTGGTGTACAGGAGGTCGTGGGTTCGATCCCGACCACTGACACCTGTTGTCTATGTGGAGTTTGTGTCTCTCTCATCATCATCACGGTGGCTAGGAGATGTTAACTACCTCGCCTGGTGTACAGGAGGTCGTGGGTTCGATCCCGACCACTGACACCTGTTGTATATGTGGAGTTTGTGTCTCTCTCTCTCATCATCATCACGGTGGTTAGGAGATGTTAACTACCTCGCCTGGTATACAGGAGGAATATGTGGAGTTTGTCTCTCTCCCCGTGGTTGCGTGAAATTTTCCCCGGGTTCTCCGGTTTTTCCCTCCACATTTATAATCGACATCACGCCTTTTGAGTATTTGGCTGCTCTACATTTCCATACGATGATAAGCCACTTCGTTGAGCTTTCATTTGTGATAGCCAGGTCGCATCTGAAAAAAATATAGCTCAGTGAGCCTTACCTGTTGAAATCGAAACAATTGTTGAGTTTTCCATAGTACACCTTTTAGCGTTTTTCATCTTCAGCTCGGTCATAGCCGGTGCTGAACTTCAGCACGAACAAGTCTTGCGGAAAGCTGTTCCAGGAGCAGCATCATATAGAGGTTGCATGGATGTAGGGTACAATACACGCGTGGGTACATTACTAGCGGAGCATTGTGGATGGGCGAATTTTGTATTCTAGTGGTAGTGCCGTACGCCGATAACCCACCGAGCCAGCCCCTATCGCAGCATTCCGGAATATATCGGGCGAGAAGTAATTGCTTACAGGTCCCGCCCGTGGTAAAGTGTACGCTCGCTTTCCCTTCGGTACTGTAGGGCGTGATTGGTGATGTAAACTCCGCATTCCTATGGCGGGACACGGCCCATTTGAAAAACAGCAAACCTAAGAAGCGAGCGGCGTAGCCTTTGTTGACGGAGTAGTTGCCAACAACTTTCTGAGTCCAGAACGCGGAGAGTTGGTTAGTTTCGTGGTGTGCAAGTAAAAAAAAGCTGAAACTTCTGCGGGAATGATAACTCATCGCATTGAACTCTTTAGGCAGAGAACAAGCGGCTGTTATTCTTGTGCGCTATCTACATCCAGAGGATTGCGTCGCCGGCTATCCCCCAGTAGGGATTATCGGCGTAAGGCACTACCACTAAATTACAAAAACGCCTATCCGGCACTAATTACCTGGTTAAACAATTAAACGTAATTGGACTTGAACCCTACATTACTTGTACCCTGTATTCACATCCCAGTAAGCGTTGGACGTCGGGCTAACGTTGGTTCCAGTGGTTCCAACCACGTGCCAAAGTGGGCTTGCTTAATGGGGATAGTCGTTGTTGCGAGGACAAGATCAGGCGAGGTGGATGCGACGTTCCAAAGTATTGGCCCGGAACAACGTTGCGGACTGCTGCGGCTGAAGTTGAGCGCCGTCCGTGCAGTGCCGGATGAAGCGAGTGCGGGGCCTGTAGCATATGTTATAAAGGGGCCCTAAATTAAAAAAAAAGGACACAAATATTATTTTTTTATTTTACTTCCATAGTAAAGCAATTGTATTTTTTCATTTGCTATACAGCCAGATAATACGACGCATCGCTAACCTTAAACACCCAGTCGTTCATAAATGTTGAAGGGGGTATAGTACTTTAGTAATAGAGCAAGTGCAAAATCACTGAACCGGAATTGATAGCTTGAAAGCGTTTAGCGCGGTGGCCCTTGAAAGTGCGGGGCCCGTAGCTCGATATGTAGTAGTAGCTACTACATATGTAGCTACTACTACGTATGCAGTAGCTACTACCACATTGTAGCTACTACTGGGTATGTAGTAGTAGCTACTACATATGTAGCTACTACTACGTATGCAGTAGCTACTACCACATTGTAGCTACTACTGGGTATGTAGTAGTAGCTACTACATATGTAGCTACTACTACGTATGTAGTAGCTACTACCACATTGTAGTAGCTACTACTACGTATGTAGCTACTACATATGTAGCTACTACTACGTATGTAGTAGCTACATACGTATTAGTAGCTACATACGTAGTAGTAGCTACTACTACGTAGTAGCAGTAGCTACAATGTGGTAGTAGCTACTACATACGTAGTAGTAGCTACATATGTACGTAGTAGTAGCTACTACACTACAATGTAGTAGTAGCTACTACTACAATGTAGTAGCTACTACTACATTGCAGCTACTTGTGCTACGAGGTTGATCATCCGGGACGGCGTCCGTGCTGCACCGTGGAGTGGCTTGCCGGTTACCGCACGACTGTCGTCATCACGACAGTCGTCATCACGACAGTCGTGATCACGACAGTCGTGATCACGACGTGTCGCTGCGACTTTCGAATCGACGTCTGGAACTTCGGCGAGGTAAGTGGGGAGGTTGGGGCGGGGGGGGGTCGGGTGCGTTGCCTTTAAATCGCGGCGATCAGCTGATGTTAACGCTGCTTCAGCTGCTGTCACTCGTCTCGCCCGACTGCTCTCCTGCAGATGCCACTGCTAATCCTGATACTAATCCTGACGCTGCTGCTTCTGCTGCTGCTACCGGTGCCACAGATCGCCGAGTGGAGGTCCGGGGGCCGCTGTCGCCGCGGCCGAGGATGCCCAAGGTGGCTGTTGCCCGAGACGGGACCGGGGGAGACGACGCGACGAGACGGCCCGAGAGCGGTGAGAGACGCGGGGGGCGTGGGGGAGTGTGGGGAGCGTGGGGGGCGTGGGGGGCGTGGGGGAGTGTGGGGAGCGTGGGGGAGTGTGGGGAGCGTGGGGGGCGTGGGGGAGCGTGGGGAGCGTGGGGTGAGTGGAGAGCGTGGGGTGAGTGGAGAGTGTGGGGAGTGTTAGAAGCGTGGGGAGTGTGGAGTGAGTGGAGAGTGTGGGGTGAGTGGAGAGTGTGGAGAGTGGGGAGTGTGGGGTGAGTGGAGAGTGTGGGGAGTGTTGGAAGCGTGGGGAGTGTGGAGTGAGTGGAGAGTGTGGGGTGAGTGGAGAGTGTGGAGAGTGGGGAGTGTGGGGTGAGTGGAGAGTGTGGAGAGTGTGGGGAGCGTGGGGAGCGTGGGGAGCGTGGAGATTGTGGGGTGAGTGGAGAGCGTGGGGAGTATGGGGAGCGTGTGGGGTGAGTGGAGAGCGTGGGGAGTGTGGGGTGAGTGGAGAGTATGGGGAGTATTCTTAGTTCTTTCGGTAAAGTCACGTTTATTATTTTGTTGTTTCCCTTCAACGTGACTTTACCGAAAGAACTAAGAATATGAATTACTGCAGTCACGAAAGCTTTAAATCAAAATTTAGTATGGGGAGTGTTGGGAGCGTGGGGAGTGTGGGGTGAGTGGAGAGTGTGGGGTGAGTGGAGAGTGTGGAGAGTGGGGAGTGTGGGGTGAGTGGAGAGTGTGGGGTGAGTGGAGAGTGTGGGGAGTGTTGGGAGCGTGGGGTGAGTGGAGAGTGTGGGGTGAGTGGAGAGTGTGGAGAGTGTGGGGAGTGTGGGGTGAGTGGAGAGTGTGGGGAGTGTTGGGAGCGTGGGGTGAGTGGAGAGTGTGGGGAGTGTTGGGAGCGTGGGGTGAGTGGAGAGTGTGGGGAGTGTTGGGAGCGTGGGGAGTGTGGGGTGAGTGGAGAGTGTGGGGTGAGTGGAGAGTGTGGAGAGTGGGGAGTGTGGGGTGAGTGGAGAGTGTGGGGTGAGTGGAGAGTGTGGGGTGAGTAGAGAGTGTGGGGAGTGTGGGGTGAGTAGAGAGTGTGGGGTGAGTAGAGAGTGTGGGGAGTGTGGGGTGAGTAGAGAGTGTGGGGTGAGTAGAGAGTGTGGGGTGTGGGGTGAGTAGAGAGTGTGGGGTGAGTAGAGAGTGTGGGGAGTGTGGGGTGAGTAGAGAGTGTGGGGTGAGTGGAGAGTGTGATGTGAGTGGAGAGTGTGGGGAGTGTGGGGTGAGTAGAGAGTTTGGGGGTGAGTAGAGAGTGTGGGGTGAGTGGAGAGTGTGGGGAGTGTGGGGTGAGTGGAGAGTGTGGGGTGAGTGGAGAGTGTGGGGAGTGTGGGGTGAGTGGAGAGTGTGATGTGAGTAGAGAGTGTGATGTGAGTAGAGAGTGTGGGATGAGTGGAGAGTGTGGGGTGAGTGGAGAGTGTGGGGTGAGTGGAGAGTGTGGGGAGTGTGATGTGAGTAGAGAGTGTGGGATGAGTGGAGAGTGTGGGGTGAGTGGAGAGTGTGGGGAGTGTGATGTGAGTAGAGAGTGTGGGGAGTGTGGGGTGAGTGGAGAGTGTGGGGTGAGTGGAGAGTGTGGAGAGTGTGGGGAGTGTGGGGTGAGTGGAGAGTGTGGGGTGAGTGGAGAGTGTGGGGAGTGTTGGGAGCGTGGGGTGAGTGGAGAGTGTGGGGAGTGTTGGGAGCGTGGGGTGAGTGGAGAGTGTGGGGAGTGTTGGGAGCGTGGGGAGTGTGGGGTGAGTGGAGAGTGTGGGGTGAGTGGAGAGTGTGGAGAGTGGGGAGTGTGGGGTGAGTGGAGAGTGTGGGGTGAGTGGAGAGTGTGGGGTGAGTAGAGAGTGTGGGGAGTGTGGGGTGAGTAGAGAGTGTGGGGTGAGTAGAGAGTGTGGGGAGTGTGGGGTGAGTAGAGAGTGTGGGGTGAGTAGAGAGTGTGGGGAGTGTGGGGTGAGTAGAGAGTGTGGGGTGAGTAGAGAGTGTGGGGAGTGTGGGGGTGAGTAGAGAGTGTGGGGTGAGTAGAGAGTGTGGGGAGTGTGGGGTGAGTAGAGAGTGTGGGGTGAGTGGAGAGTGTGATGTGAGTGGAGAGTGTGGGGAGTGTGGGGTGAGTAGAGAGTTTGGGGGTGAGTGGAGAGTGTGGGGAGTGTGGGGTGAGTGGAGAGTGTGGGGAGTGTGGGGTGAGTGGAGAGTGTGATGTGAGTAGAGAGTGTGATGTGAGTAGAGAGTGTGGGATGAGTGGAGAGTGTGGGGTGAGTGGAGAGTGTGGGGAGTGTGATGTGAGTAGAGAGTGTGATGTGAGTAGAGAGTGTGATGTGAGTAGAGAGTGTGGGGTGAGTGGAGAGTGTGGGGTGAGTGGGGAGTGTGATGTGAGTAGAGAGTGTGATGTGAGTAGAGAGTGTGGGGAGTGTGGGGAGTGTGGGGAGTGTGGGGGTCTGCGTGTCGGAGACGGGTGGGAATCGGCCGTGTCGTGGTTCGCGCATTGCGCTACAAACTCGGCGACCCCGACGTTGGATTCCCGCTCAGAATAAGAAGACCCACCAGAAGTTTATTTCCCACCGAGTGAAGCCGTTGAGCTCAGAAGTTCTCTCTTTTTTAGTTTTAGCAAGGACGACTTCGGCCCGTAGACAACATAAAAAGCATTCCACAATTACCACCAACAATTTCAGCGGTGAATATGTGAACCGTTCTTGGTTCTTTGCCCAAGGTCGATTCGACCTTAAATGAGAACCCGGCGTGTAAACATTAGCAATGGGGGAGACAAAGGCGGCCGGGCGTTGTGGTATTGGCAGCACCGTTCCCTCGTGTGCCGTGTTGGCGTTCATCAGTGCTCGTGAACAGCGCTTGCCCCAACAGTCTGTTAAAGGTTACACGGGGGGATCTCTGTCTTTGTATACACGTGTCTATGTGTGCGTGTGTGTGCGTCTCGATGTCTGTTCGTCTGTGTGTTTGTCGAACTGATATGTGCACATGCCTGTCTAAAGACACGAACGCTTGTAAATATACATGTGTATGTTAGAGTACCGTATATATCTATCAAGACGTACAGTATTTAGACATTCTCTATAATGAACACGTCTCTGTATGTGTATACATGCACGTCTCTGTGTCTGTATACGCGTCTGCAAGCATATACATTACTGTGGCTATATGTGTGTTTGTATTCATGCATTTCTGTGCGTTTCCATATGTTTGCGTAACTTTATCAATGCACTTGTGTGTGTTTCTGTTGATATATAATTAACTGTGTAATTAACTGCTTATATCTCTATGTTTGTGTGTCTTCGTGTGTGATTCTGTCTATGACTCTGTCTTCCCTGTGCATAGCTGATGCGTTATTCACAGACGGCACACGTGTATTATATCTGTGTCAAGGAAACAGGCGTTACGTATATGACACAGACATGGGTTTGTCTGTTTTCACAAAAGGAGTATCTGCATATCTGAGAAATGGCTCTATGCGTTTGATGACATCCGTCTATTTAATGAGACAGATACAGCGTTATGTACGTGAGACATCTGGGTTCTATCTATCTATATATATGGTCTGCCTATGCGTGTGTCCGACAAAGGCGTTACAGACGATGCGATTGGGATTTTTCATCACGTTCTATCCGTAAGAAGACTCCAGCGTGATTTACGCCTTTTCCAATCGGTATTTCTAGGAGGCAGAGTCTTTACGTCCCGTCTGACGGTGTGTCCGTGTCTGGACTCACACCCTCGGATCACACAGCGTCTGTGTGCTTGAGACAAGCATCAGACATCTCTGACGACGATTGCTGAGCAAGTAGCACAATGCTTAGCGCCAGTGCGCTATGAACTCGACTGCCCGAGTTCGATTCCCATTGCTTGGGGGTGAAGAAACCCCCCCCCCCCGGCCCCCGCTCATCTCCACGCCGCGTCGCCTAAGCGGGCAAGGCTGTTGTTTTGGCCATACTTCACCACCCTGGTCAATGCGGGTTGGTGACGGAGAAGCCCGCGATTGGGTTCGTATATCACTCGTCACTGATTGTGAGCAAACCGCGGCTTGGAATCGATCTCGGTCTAAGGTCGTACGGGTCACAACATAGTTCGTGTGTGTGTGTGTGTCACCGTGTGTGTGTGTGTCACTGTGTGTGTGTGTCACCGTGTGTGTGTGTGTCACCGTGTGTGTGTGTCACCGTGTGTGTGTGTGTGTGTGTCACCGTGTGTGTGTGTCACTGTGTGTGTGTGTGTTACCGTGTGTGTGTGTCACCGTGTGTGTGTGTGTCACCGTGTGTGTGTGTCACCGTGTGTGTGTGTGTGTGTCACCGTGTGTGTGTGTGTCACTGTGTGTGTGTGTGTCACCGTGTGTGTGTGTCACCGTGTGTGTGTGTCACCGTGTGTGTGTGTGTGTGTCACCGTGTGTGTCACCGTGTGTGTGTGTGTGTCACCGTGTGTGTGTGTCACCGTGTGTGTGTGTCACCGTGTGTGTGTGTGTCACCGTGTGTGTATGTGTCACCGTGTGTGTGTGTCACCGTGTGTGTGTGTCACCGTGTGTGTGTGTGTGTCACCGTGTGTGTGTGTGTGTCACCGTGTGTGTGTGTGTCACCGTGTGTGTGTGTCACTGTGTGTGTGTCACCGTGTGTGTGTGTCACTGTGTGTGTGTGTCACCGTGTGTGTGTGTGTGTCACCGTGTGTGTGTGTGTGTCACCGTGTGTGTGTGTGGTGCTGTGTGTGGTAAAATAGGGAAACGTACGACGCTACGTATTCCCTCTCGGCCATCGTTAGCCTTGACAGTTTATTCTCGGGGGAGTAAAAAAAAATGTGCCCGCACGTGGACGAGACAATTTGTATTGCGTTTGCGCGCGAGGAGCGGTGGCGCAGCGGTTAGCGCATGCTGAACTTCTTTCGCACCGTACATAGCCAAGCGTGCTCATCGGAGGTGCAGGACATCGGAGGTAGCGCAGTGCTACGAACCCGGCCGGAACCCTGCGTTCGATTCCAGAGTGGCAACCTCCTTCCCCTCCTTACCCTCCTAACGCCCTACGTTTG